ACAGTTAAGGTGTGTATGTCACAGGTGAGGGTGTGTATGTCACAGGTGAGGTGTGTATGTCACAGGTACAGGGTGTGTATGTCACAGGTGAGGGTGTGTATGTCACAGGTGAGGTGTGTATGTCACACTCAGGGTGTGTATGTCACAGGTGAGGTGTGTATGTCACAAGTGAGGTGTGTATGTCACAGGTGAGGTGTGTATGTCACAGGTGAGGGTGTGTATGTCCCAGGTGAGGTGTGTATGTCACACTCAGGGTGTGTATGTCACAGGTACAGGGTGTGTATGTCACACTCAGGGTGTGTATGTCACAGGTGATGTGTGTATGTCACAGTTTAAGGTGTGTATGTCACAGGTGAGGGTGTGTATGTCACAGGTGTGATGTGTATGTCACAGGTGAGGTGTGTATGTCACACTCAGGGTGTGTATATCACAGGTAGGGTGTGTATGTCACAGGTGATGTGTGTATGTCACAGTTTAAGGTGTGTATGTCACAGGTGAGGGTGTGTATGTCACAGGTGAGGGTGTGTATGTCACAGGTAAGGTGTGTATGTCACAGGTCAGGGTGTGTATGTCACAGGTGAAGGTGTGTATGTCACAGGTAAGGTGTTTATATCACATTCAAGGTGTGTATGTCACACTTAAGGTGTGTATGTCTCAGGTAAAGGTGTGTATATCACAGGTACAGGGTGTGTATGTCACACTCAAGGTGTGTATGTCACAGGTACAGGGTGTGTATGTCACACTCAGGATGTGTATGTCACACTCAAGGTGTGTATGTCACACTCAGGGTGTGTATGTCACAGGTAAAGGTGTGTATGTCACACTCAAGGTGTGTATGTCACACTCAGGTGTGTATGTCACAGGTGAGGTGTGTATGTCACAGGTGAGGGTGTGTATGTCACACTCAGGTGTGTATGTCACAGGTGAGGTGTGTATGTCACAGGTGAGGTGTGTATGTCACAGGTGAGGGTGTGTATGTCACAGGTGAGGTGTGTATGTCACAGGTGAGGTGTGTATGTCACACTCAGGGTGTGTATGTCACAGGTGAGGTGTGTATGTCACAGGTGAGGGATGTTTGTCACACTCAGGGTGTGTCACACTCAGGTGTGTATCCCATGAGTTATGGGGTTTGTGTGTCACATATAAGAAACCCCCAAGCTGTTGAATTTCCTGGAATATCCTGGAGGAGGCACAAGGATCTCCCCATTTCCCCCCGTTCCTGCTGGAATCCCTTTCCTGGTGTTTGGCTCTGCTGTGCCAAGGGAACAGATTTTTGGGATCCTTCTGCACTCCTGAATTTTGGGATCCCATGGATGGCATCACCTCCCACTCTATTCCTGGCCTTCCTGGGCCGAGGCTCTTTTCCAGGGGCTCTGCTCCTGCTCCCAGGACAGGGAACAGTGGGATTCAGGGAATATTCTCTGCAGGTTTGGGAATTCTGCCTCCGTTGGAATTCACGGGGCTGCTCCTTCCCTTGCAGAAAACCCCGGAGCGAGGAGGGAGGTCCTGGAGAGCAAAGGGATCCTGGTGGCCGACGTGAGCTCCTTCCTGGGCTCCCTGCAGGGCGTGGCCACTCCTTTCCGGAGGAGCTACTGGTGAGGAGGGAAAGCTTGGGAGCAGTCCCAGAAATCTGGGAGCGGCCACTGGGTTCTTGGGAGCAGCTCCTCGGTTGTTGGAAGTAGCTCCTGGGTTTTTGGGAGCAGCCACTGTGTTGCTGGGAGCAGCTCTTGGGTTCTTGGGAGCAGCTCCTGGCTTGTTGGGAGCAGCTCCTGGATTTTTCGGAGCAGCTCTTGGATTTTTGGGAGCGGCTCTTGGATTTTTGGGAGCAGCCACTGGGATGTTGGAAGCAGCTCCTGGGTTGTTGGGAGCAGCTCCTGGATTTTTGGGAGCGGCTCTTGGATTTTTGGGAGCAGCCACTGGGATGTTGGAAGCAGCTCCTGGATTGCTGGGAGTAGCTCTTGGATTTTTGGGAGCAGCTTTTGAGTTGTTGGGAGCAGCCACTGGGTTGTTGAGAGCAGCTCCTGGATTTTTGGGAGCAGCTCCTGGATTTTTGGGAGCAGCTCTTGGATTTTTGAGAGCAGCCACTGGATTGTTGGGAGCAGCTCTTGGAGTTTTGGGAGCAGCTCCTGGATTTTTGGGAGCAGCTCTTGGATTTTTGGGAGCAGCTCCTGGATTTTTGGGAGCAGCTCCTGTGTTGTTTGCAGCAGCTCCTTGGTTTTTGGGAGCAGCTCTTGGATTTTTGGGAGCAGCTCCTGGATTTTTTGGAGCAGCTCTTGGATTGTTGGGAGGAGCTCTTGGACTGTTGGGAGCAGCTCCTGGATTTTTGGGAGCTGTGTCCAGCTGCTCCCAGAGCAGGGCAGGGATGTTCCCGGGGTGCTGGATGCGGGATCCGTTGGCACTCAGGGCTGACTCCTGAATCCAGAGCTGGCAGAGCTGTGCTTGGCACCGCTGGGAATGGGAAACACTCCAGTATTTTTCCTGGGAATCTCCTCAGGAGTGCGGGAGCGGAGCTTCAACCTGCGCCACCTCTCTCTGTTGCAGGTGACAAAGCCGAGCCAGGACACGGCTCCTCCCCACGGTGGCACCAGTTGGGGCATCCCAGCCCTTCCGGGACACCCCATCCCGGCGGATGCTCCGGGTGGCGCGGGAAGGGCCGTCTGAGTCCGCACAGAAAACCTGACTGGGAGGTGGCCAATCCAACCCCCCCTCCCCGGGGGTTTTATTCCCTGTTCCAGGGGTTTATCCCCTGTTCCAGGGGTTTATTCCCTGTTCCAGGGGTTTATTCCCTGTTCCAGGGGTTTATTCCCTGTTCCAGGGGTTTATTCCCTGTTGCACCCCAGGACAGAGGTCGTTGTAACACGGCAGGTTAATTACCGGAGCGTTTCCCAGCATTTTTAGTGCCGCTGACATGGGAAGAAACAGGAAGATGGATCTCCAGAAAGCCGTTTTTTACTTGAAGGAAGGTCGGGAAGGACAATTAACCCCCCTCCCCACGGGGTAGTTCCTGTGCCCTGTCCTCCTACACTACATTTCAACTCACAATTCCCCCCTCCCGTTCTCTCATGGTACCATTTCCCTGCTGGGACTCCATTCCAGCGCATTCCAGCACCTGGAATTCCTGTAAATAGCCGGGATATAGGAACGAAATAAAAGCTCTTATTTATGGGGGCCGGGATGGAGACGCGGGGTCAGGGTTTGTCCTCTTCTATTCTGGGGTTTTTTTTTAAATGAAAGCGTTGCAGTTGTCCTTCTGTTGGGGATGGATTTGTAAAGAGTTTGAATAATAAAACCTCAAAACAAAGGAAGTTTGTTCTGTGTTAACTCCAACCTGGAGGCTCCCACAGGAAGGGGAGAGGGAACAACACGGTGGAGGCTCCTGGATGATCGATCCCATCCTGCTTCCCAGGAATAACGAGGCTACAGCAGAGAGGGATAACGGGATAATTTAAGGGAAGGATTGTTTTCCACCTGCTCTGGGCCTTGGCTTTGGGAAGACTGGGCTCTGGGCACTGACCCAGCTCCAGGGAGGAAGCACAAGGCCCAGGAGAGCTGAAAACAGGAAGGTGGTTCCTGGAACTGCCACCCCGGGAAGGGGAAGTGCCAAAAGCCCCGGCAGGGAGGGGGAAGGGGCAGGTTTGGCTCAGCTTTGTGCCTGTGGTGGGGTCAGAAATCCCAGTTCCTCCTCAGCAGCAGCCTGGGAGCGGAGCAGCACCGGCCGGAGGGTGTTCCAAGGTATTTCCTCATTTTTCCTGGCACTTGGCAGCGCTGTGTCCAAACACAAGCCCTGCTCCTCACTGTCCAGCTGTGCCCAACAGCTGGATGGTCCAGGCTCCCAGATCCCAGCCAGGGATCCCTAAGGAGCATCTCTTACCCAGGGAGAGCCCTGGAGAGGAGCCCGGAGAGCAGGGATTAGTTACTGCTGCTTCCAGCAAGTGCCATTCCCGGATGTGGCTGCGGGGAACAGGCAGGATTGTGCCATGGACAGCCCGGGCAGGATTGTGCCCATGGACAGCCCAGGCAGGATTGTGCCCATGGACAGCCCGGGCTGGATTGTGCAATGGACAGCCCAGGCTGGATTGTGCCATGGACAGCCCGGGCTGGATTGTGCCCATGGACAGCCCAGGCAGGATTGTGCCATGGACAGCCCAGGCTGGATTGTGCCATGGACAGCCCGGGCAGGATTGTGCCCATGGACAGCCCAGGCTGGATTGTGCCCATGGACAGCCCAGGCTGGATTGTGCCATGGACAGCCCGAGCCACATCCTGGTGCTGCCACATCTCCCCGGAGCAGCACGGCCTGGGAATCCCAACCAGGGACCCCTGAGCCCGTTCTCCAGCAGGGAATGCCGTGTCCCCGCTCCCTGGCAGGCCGAGATCCCTTGGGATCTCTCCCAGAGGTGCTGCTGGTAGAAGTGAAGCGAATCAGAGACTGGGAGCCCAGGACTGGTTTCCAGAATTTGGCTTTACTTCGCAGTACAGAAATCATTTGGAGCCTGGAGGAGCCCCGGGAAGCACCGGCTCCGTCCTTGCCGGTACCGCGGCGCCGTTTTGGTCCATCCGAGGAGCCCCCAGGGACACAAAATACTCCCAACATCTTTGCCTGCTCTGCAATTTTTGTTCTCTCAATTTTATTAAGATTAAAACACAAAAGGAGCCTCAGGCACAGCTGTGTCCCAACCCCTGTAAACAGGTTTAGAAGCTGAAGTGGAGGTTAAAGTTCTGTGCCCAGAACGAAGCCAACAGTTTGCTGCTACAATAGATGTGGGCTTTGTCCATGATAACAACTTTGCCACGAGAGTTAAGGTCGATGGGAGGGACTTTTTAGGGATGCTGTCCACAATGAGGGAGTGCTCGGGTTCTACGTTCCTGGACACCGGGTCTGAGTGACGTTCACAGTCACATCTACGAGCTCACCAGAAGCACAGGGGGGGGGGGGGGGGGGGGAGGGAGAGGGGGGGGGTGTGGGAGGATGTTTTTACAAATGATTAAAAAGACAAGGTAAGACACAGCTGTCAATGAGTTGTTATTTCTCAAATCTGCACCAACGTCTAACTCTGCAAAAATAATAATAATAATAATCGTCATCGTCATCATCATCATCATCCTAAGTTCACTTCTGCCTTTCTCTTTAGGGGGTTAGTCAGGGGGGGTCAGGGGGTTGCCAGATTCTGGACAGCAGCCCTACTAGAATGGAATAATTAACACATGATATCCAAAAAAGGGAACATTACCAGTGCAGTAACTCTTCAATCTCTCAGAGATGGGATTACAAAAGCAGGCCTTACAATATTGAATTTCGTACAGTGTTCATTAAGTTCCTTATATATTCATATTAGCCCATTTAATTTCTCCTAATTAGAGGCTCTCTCATTACTGCTGCTCCTCCTCCCCGTAGATGTCGTTCTTCTTGCGCTTCATCTCCTCGAAGTCGAACTCTGAGCCCATCATCCTCTTGTAGATGTCCTTGATGTCGTCACACGTCGTCTCGAAGTGGGTGGTGGCGTCGTAGGTGCGGGAGATGAAGATCTGCGGGGACAGGGGGGG